TTGAAAATTTATATTCAAAGACTTCGATCGGATATTAGATATTCGGTTTTTTCTTCCAATTTCTCTCTACAATGACGGACATCCTTCTTCCTCCTACGCTATGTAGAGATTCTTATTGATTTAACTTGCTAGGAACCTGTATATACATATATACTGAAACCTCGTTTAAGTTGACTCTCAGAAAAGGTTACTCGCGTTTAAGTTTACGCGATACCTTTCGTTTATGTTGACTTCAGCACCCCCTCCTAATTCTCAAGCAGCTGCTCCGAGTAATGAGGGAGGGAGAATGCAATAGTATAGTGATGCGCATCAGCCAATCACAATAATTGTAAGAGGGGAACCGCGCAGTGGTGAGAGATCCTGAGTCAACATAATCGAGATGTTTATGTTTCTGAAGAGTCAACTTAAACGAGGTTTCAGTGTAGTTTGAAACAACCTGTGGCTTCTAGACCTTTTTAACGTTCTATCTACTACTATAATATAACGTACATTTGTTCATATTTTACGAACGATCGGATCGATGAATGAATATTTGTCGTTTAGTTTTTAATATAATTGTTGTTGAATCAATTATTTCTAAGACATCAATTTTCTACCAATTTTAAAAGTATGAATTTACTTCTAAATGATAAAAAATTAATTTATTTAATCAAATAATTTAGTTTGGTTTAATACTGTTTAATAAACATTCTTTAATAAGTTATCAATGGCACGCGAAAATCCATTATTCCTTACTTTTATTATTTTCACTTCTTTTCTTTGAGCTATTATTTGTCAATGAATTTGCGCTTATTTATATTACTTTTTATTTTCTCTTTTACGTCTTTACCTTATTCTTTTGCGCGGATCGTTAAGCTGCTCAATGTCCCATACAAATTGATTTCCACAGGTCATTTTACAGTCGCCCGATTTTATCGTGCGTATAGGTTAGGTCTGTTTCTTCTAGAAAGTATCGCTTGGAAACAATATGCGAACTCGAAATAATTAACATTGGAACAAGAATTTTCCACATGAGATCATTAAACCGATTTATTCCTGAATACAAGTTTTTTTAATAAAAACAAATCGTTATCCCGCTCCGGATATACTTTACATTTTGCGATGATAAATGTTATTAAAATAAATTCGTATCCTGCCTTTTAGATTTTCTTTCGTTACATAAGGTTTGTTCTCGTTACTCACACATTCTGCACCTTTCAAAAATGGCAAGATCTCATTGGTTACTTAAAAATGTCATCCAATAAGAATTTGCACTTTTGGAAAAGTGCAAAAAGTGTAGGTAACCAGAACAAACCTATTATTTACATCAAACTAGTCGGTTGGCGTACCTGCGACAAAATAAAATGACCATACATTCTTTTTCCTCTAGAGTCAGACATATTATCACATCGACCCTCATGGATCTGCAGCAGATATATTTGACTTTTATCACCCTATAGAAACGTGGTTTAATCTCTCTGATACACAATATTTGTTACTTTGTTTATATCCATTTGGTATACGAATTAGTTTATCTGTACAGGTTACGGTCCAGTGACATGCAAGCAATTACATGGGAATTTATTAGGCGGCCATAATATACATTTTGATTAGATCTAACTTCAGGCCACTGGAGGCGATTATTAACGGTCGTTTTTAAAACTGTCCGCGCAGTGCCTATAATTCACGCACTTTTTATACTACTCAACTATAGACTTGTTTTTTTCTAAAATAATTATTGTTATTATTTAAACATTAAACGGCTTTTACTTCGTTTAAGAAGTCGCTAGGTGTTCGTTAATACCTACCCGGGTAAAATTTCGGAGGCATACAAGTACAACAACAGGCGTACCACAAGTCCCGTTTGTGAAATAGGAGGCGACAAGAGGCGCAAACACTCGATTTTGACCGGTTGTCAACCTGTTGTACACCTTCACATTGTTACCTGGGTATATACCCGGGTATAAAACGCATTTATTCATATGAAGGATGAAGAAGGATGAAGCTTGTAATGATTAATGCAGCTCGAGCACCAAAGGATGCCGATAAATGATTATGTTAACAGCCTTAAAAAATAATTATGCAATTAGAGCTAACCTACTATTTCCTAATTGATTGGTACTACTTATACCTATACATACACTGTTAATCGTAGACGATTTTTAAAAAATAGATTTTGACGTACTGATAGACGAATGTAGGCGCATATGACACATATCTAAATATTTGCTATGTACTTCAAGGCTATATTTTCGAGTATCCGTAGATACTATAAATACTAATACTTATCTATTGTAAGTATATCTGCGTAAATGAATCTTTTTTTTATGTATAGGTGAGTATAAGAGAAATCTTAAAAGCGACTAATTATTATTTTTTTATTAAATTAAAAAAGTCCTCGTGACTGAATTATTTGCATTTCGCACTTAATTAGTCTGCTTCTATGGAAGCTCTGACATTTGTTAATACGATGTTTTGAATGGCTTTTTAAATTAAAAAATTATTTATAATTATAAATATGTCGCCGTTAAATGCTAATCGCGCTACATGTTTAAGTAGTAGTCATTTATTGAGCCTGCACAATCACTGTAATCATACGTACGTAAGACTAATTATAGGTACCAATATGAAAAGGAGATGTTAATTAGTTAAGTAATTTAACCCTTTGCACTCTATTGGCGCCGCCGTGACGACATGTTGCCCGTAGAAAACAATTCTTGGAGTGCAAAGGACTAAATATAATATATAAAATATAATATTAAATATAAATATAAGGCAACGCGTGTTTCTGTAAGATGTGAAATAATGAATTAGTGTAATGAATTAGCCAAAACATTTATTACGGGGTGACAAGACGTGGCGTAAGGATGGGGGGTTGCAAAATTTCTGTAACGGGCTGTGATTATCTGCTAGCGTGCCACAATGAATAATAAATCCGATAAAAGTTCAGGTTACAACAATACTTTTAAATTGGCATCACTGATAAACCATCGATTGCTTATGATTAGATCTAGAGCTATTGACTAATGGATAATTCATATTATATCGGTATAATAGTGTGTGAAATAATTTTTCAAAATACGTTTGAAAATATCGAAAAAAATGTTAACTTCCATGACGCATACGTAATATGGAATTTTGCAAACGCCTTGCATTCGCATAAACTTTCAATGATGCTAATTTACTAGCGAATTTTGTCTCCCATTAATAAAATACGATACACACACGTTAAAAGTGGCCATTGCATTTGCACTATGAAAATTGCCTGTCTATCATAGTACAGCTAGATGTTCAATTTTGGCCATTGTTAAAAAGAAAAAGGAAGTGTTTATTGGTTTCCGAAAGAGAGAAAGTACGAATTGTTTTTTGTGAATTATTAGTCTAATGATGTATTGACAATATTTATTTTCATCCTGTCATTAAATTCGGAGTACTTCTTTTACGTATTTTATTTAAAAAGACGAATTCTCCAAAAATTGTGCTGATCTCGTAGGCCGAGTACATGAAAAACACCTGATCATTTGTAATATGTATATTTCTCATAGATTTATGGTGAAATGTTGGAATGCTTTATCAATGTTAAATGATTAGGCGAATATTATATGAAGTCAGGAAGTTTTGAACGTACACCGGTAGTCGAAGGGTTGGGCGTAACAAAGATTTAACCGGCTAAAAGAAGATTAAATATATATAAATGAGAAAGGTTGACTTATTCTGCGAAAATGCAAGGTTTTTTGTCTAACTGTGAAAAACATGGCCTCTCGATATTCATAAACCACTACACGTGGCCTTTGATAGAAATGTGAAACAATTATGGGGATCCCATTTTAGTTTATATTAAGGCAATCAGATGTTATACATGTATTCCAACATCATGGCGATCGAATAAATTGTTGTTATTATCGTTTATGATTACCTATCATTCGTTCCCTTTCGTCCATTTTATTTATTACTTATACTATCTTATCATAATCGTTCAATTATATATTTAAAAAGTATCATCATATTTTTCTTTCAGAATCCAATCATTCACGCTACATGAAAAGAGAGAACGCTAAAAGAAAGAAATTCGTCATTTCATTTCAAATATCTATGTATAAGTTTTATAAAATGCAAGAATTATATAGTTTAAACGTTGTTATTCATATAAACGAAATAAGAGCAACCTGACAGTATGATGCTTTTTTCCTTTTATGTGCTATTGAATAAAAGATATGACATACAAAATACATATGACGACATATTCATTTAATATCTACAGTGTTGGTTAATAAACTTATATTTAAATGATCATTGGTATTACTAAATCATTTGAAATAGGAAAAAAAGCAGAGTATAATAATTAAAGTGTAAAATGTGTCATAATCATATGGTCTAAAATCGTCAATGAATCACCATCGGTGATAACAGCACGTTTCTTATCTGAACAGCATTTTAGTCCTCGAAACCAGTTTTGAATAGACACCTATTTGCTTTTAACGTTTATTTTGTAGAGTAAATTTTTCTTAGTTTAAACCCTTGGAACGATGCAATGGGCAGTCGATAATTATGAATTGTTTTCAAATGATGCTGAACATAGTAACGAAATGGATCCGATATGAACGAACTGTTAACGAACCTAGTAAGTACTAATAAAATTGAACACCTGTTTAATTCCTAGTGACTATGTTATTATTCAAACGGTGATAAGATCTTCTGCAATATTGTCATGATTTTAGAAGAAAGTTTCTTTTATAAATCTTCGATTAGCAAAATAATCAGCACAGTTTTATGAAAGAGTGCATTTTTTTGTCAAAACATCTGCACAAATATCTATACGAATTGAATTTTTCAGTATTTTTATTTTGTCTTCCATGACGATCTGGAATATTACATAGTGGTAATCATTATGGTTTACGTTACCTACTGTACATACATAAAAATATACGTTATGTACCGTATACAAAAGTTTTAGAAAATGTTGCCCAGAGGGCGCCAAACGAAAGGCTCATTCTCGAAATATCCCAATTCCTTTATAACAGTTTCCAAAATGGCGGCGAAGAGTGGAGGTGCTGTCGATTGGGCATCAATAATAAAGCCGATTTTGTCTGCATCTTATGGCTCTTTTAACAAAAATGAGATTCTCGATCTTGTTAAAGCTATAATAAAAAGGTATGTTAAATTTCAAGGTAAAACATAGCGGAAATTATTAGAAAAATTGTATTCTTATCGCCGTTGAGTCCGTGCTGACGCACAGAAATGGATGCTTGTCATTAAGAGTCGAGAACTTACGTTTATTGATTCCTTCTTTTTACTTTTTTTATAGTGAATCTGAATTTTCGTCACACGAGGAAGAATACGAAGCATTTTATACATCATTTGCAGCACTTGCTGCTGATTACATCAGTAGCTCTGCTAGTACGCGTAAGTTTCCTAATGACCTGGCACTTATGATTGCTGAACTACAAGAGCTCTGCGCACATTCATATATTTGATATATTTTTAATTGTACGCCACAAATTATTGGGCGTGGAGTTGCTTTTGATGTTGATAGGTTCTTTATAGGTTCATTTTAACACGAGTTTTTAAAATCAATAACGTTTTTATTTCTTGATGGGAAATCATGATGTGGAATACATAGTTTATTCTGGTGTTTTCTAGAATATTTTTAGAATATAGATTTAAATCGTTTTACTTATAATATTTCATACATTATTAGGGCAATGTCGCAATATAATACGAATATTTGAAACTAGTTTAAGATAAATTAAGAATGTGGTCTATATAATCTTTTCGAGCAGCCTGAATTTAAATCTTTATTGCATGACATGGCATAGTATTACTGTAAAAGCTTTTCTCAAGTATAAAGTATCACCTTTGTATAATATTGTATTTCTGTTCAATTGATTTTAAAGTTATCTATAAATATAATTTTTTATATGATAGTATATAGTTATTGATAATTCATGAATGCCTATCTGAATTTGCTAGTAGCTTATAAAATAATATCCATGAAAATAAAAATAGTGATTAATAACTAATGATCCTGCGCAACTATTAATACTCTTTTATTGATTTGGTTATCAGTATCGAAGAGTCAAATTTCAACTGTCTGCCAAGCATGCAGAATTCTGCTTACTTACCTGGTGGGCAAATTGCCACAGCACCAAACACAACCTGGAGATGGTTCTTCAACGATCTTGACTACGAAGCAATTACTCCTTCCAGTCCGTGCATTATGCACCGGACAATCCCTGTTGGCAAAAACCGAAGAAGTAGTATTGCTAGCAATTCTGAAAAATACAAAACTGCCATCAAACATAATAACTTCACCAAATGGAAGCAACAAAGAACCTTCCCCACAAGCTGTAAAAGAATCTAAACGTGTTCGCAATGATTTGTCTAGCAGCATTTTGGAGCAGTTAACAACACCACTACAAGACTTTACACCAATCATGTCGAATCCTAATGACAACACAAGTGATGGAGGCAATAAACTAGCACCTGATACATCAGGAAATGATGTGGGCAGTGACACTAAAGTTAGTTTAACATTAATTATCTATTTAGATCCTACATTTAATTATTGTACACTCAAAAGAATTAATATAATTTAGCTATGCATAATGTAGGTCTTCAAGAGAGCATCTTTCTATAAGTTTCAATTAGAAACAGTATTTGCTTGTGATTTAACTATATGTAATATTAAGTCAAGGATTTGAATAGAAGGCATTCTCATACATAGTTATAGTATTAAGAGTATGCTATTATTTTTCAGATGATGTTTCTGGCCAATAATATAAGCACTTTACAAAGCATGGGTGCTGGGGATACTTTACTTGACATGTGTTCTAATTTACCACACCTGTCGAGATACACGCGCAAGTATCAAGCGTACTTAAACAAAAAGACGTTTAGTCTTCCTGCAAATCATTCAGACGCCCATGTTATACGACACAGTCTACACTCGATTGTGAACGATATAAATATCGTACACAGTGTAGTATCCTTGCCAGTCCTTGAGCCATTGACACCTGCCAAGCTCGAAAAATTATCATTGCTTACAATGTCATGTCTTTACTGTTCGATTGCCAATGCAACTGCATCAAGCATTGTAGGAATCACAAATGCTGTCTCACCAAAGTGCAGTACAAACACATCGTCCAATACTCAGAATGTCCAGAGTGGGAAGAATGCTGAAGAGGAATACGACACCTTAGCAATTACTGTAGTAGAAAAGAGTCTTGAAATATTTGGGCTTGTATCTAATGTTATAAAGTACAGTACACGTGCTGGTGGTCATGTAAGAATTTCTTTGCTGCTTATTTTGTTTTACATTCTATAACTATTTATAATTTCTATTAACGAATTTTTTTTCTGTAATAGCAATTACAAAATCATTTGTTGATTGGTGTTTGGCTACTGGTGGCTGGACTACAAGCACAGCTTTCAGTAAGCAGTTTCAGTGCAGCTGATAAAGGTAAAGAAGATAAAGGAAAATCACCAAGTAAAGCGCGTGATGGGACTGGTCGCATTAATTTGATGAAAGTGTAAGTACTTTTTTTTTAATGTGGCAATTGTATATTATTTTAGTTTTACGTAAATAATAGTTAGGATTTGCATATTTGTATGAAATTCTTATTTATTATACAGACAACAAGGTTTTGGAGTGCTATCAGTGGCTTTGGCTTCACACGCCCTAACTTTGATGAGTGCATTATTGGAGGATGTGTCAGTAGAAGCTGGAACGGAACAATCAACTACTCCTGAACCTGCACCTTTAGACATGTTGGCAACTGCTACTGCACTGCAGAGAGCAGCTACTTTTCTTCAGGCCGTGCCATTAAATCATCTACTTTTCTATCTAGCGACTATCAGTTATCGAAAGGTTCGTCTTATAAATTTATACATTTTTATTGTCAATATTATTCAGATAAGTATAATATATAATAACATTGCAATATATTTTTAAAGTTTTATATTTCGTAATAAATTAATTGAAAGCTATAATTGTTTTAAAACGTAAACTATTCAGAGAGACACCTTTGAGATTACATTCATTGTATCTATTTTAAATTGAAAACACACTTTTGAAAGTAACTTACAGTTCACATTATTGAAAATAATGCACTCGATTACCTTATAGTATATTGAACTCTTATGCAAATAGTTTTCTATGGGTCATAATGTCAGTATACCATTTAATGGTTACGATACAAGAGTCTTTGTTTTACAGTCAGTCTCAATATGTAGATTGCCTCTTAAATACAATTATTTTTAAAATGGTTCAGACCAAATATAATGATAAGCAATCTTGCATTTTTTTTAGCTGTATATACTGTAATAAAACATATTAATAACTCGCCTATTACGCCGCGTGCATTTCTACATAACTCGTTTCCGTTTTGTAGGCATGTGCTCTGATGAGAGTTCAAAAGCATCCTTTGGAAGGTGATACTTTAAGTCAGTCTGATTCTACGACATACTACGAAGATCTTCTGAGTTGCTCAGAAAGCACTACAGACGAAGGTAACGAACTTGTGAAAAAGAAATTAATGTAAATTCATCAAACTATTTGTTGCTTCTTTTCCATAGAATTTTCGTGTTTTAGATATAAATGTTTATAGCTACACTTAAGAAAATCAGCTTCCCTTCTTCAAGATATTGGAACATAAACCTCTCACTCTGTCCACTAACTATCAAATAACTTGTAGGTTTCTTTTTTTATATATGTTATTCATTTAGTGTAGTGTTATTTTTTGTAATTTGTCCTTAACATTGTGTGCATCCTCAACTCGTTTCTGTCTATTATACTAACTCTCTTGTGTATGTTCACCACGAAGAACAAACTGTTCTGTCGGTAGAGGAGGACAGCGAGCCCATCCTTGGTCTGTGGTTTGAAGAGACTCTGGCACCATCGGACGGTTCGCCTACAAATACTACAAAGGAAAGTAGCAACGAGGCCAGTGCCGAACGTACCACAACAACCATAGTTCCTGACAACAGAGAACCTGATGGTGTATGTTAAAAGAATTACTCTTTTTATATCTTTTTTTATTTTTTACACTGTTACTATGATTCATATTCATCTCATGTTATTTCATGTCATTTGTTTTATTATAATGTTGACTTTTTCTAAATACGATAATGATGTTCTGTATATGTATATATTTGTTACAGTATATATCGTTGGCCACTCAGATCTTTCAGTTTATGAATCAACACCTGATAGGTAGCAGAAGTATATACGTACGTGAATACGTAGTAAATGGGCTGGTAGAACAGCAAATGGTCATTCTAGCGGCTATTATAAGGGATCTGGACTACGAAGCTGCTGGCACAGAAACAGGTTAGTGAGCAGAAAACTGCTCTAGTTAATTTTCTTCTAATCCCAGCTTCTTGTACACTTGGTAACATAATATGTTGAAATATTGTAGGTACTATCTCTGTATATTATGGTGCAACCTTGGGCAAGATGTATTCTGAATTCTCACAAGCACTGAATCGGTATACGCATAATCTATTGGCTCGTAATATCCTAAGCGAGACACTTCAAAACACTTTATTACATCATTTGGGAGTCAGCCCATGGTCTACAGAAAATACAAGTACCTCATGGCCACTACAAGTCTATCCAAGAACACTTGGAGTACTTGCTCAGGTATATTGCATTTAACATTTCACTATTCTTTTTAAGTGTTGAACATTTAAGTAATGTAGTTTGTTCTATATTTTTATAACAGATTTTACTACTGAAGCCCCAATCAGAAAAAGAAGCTGCGTGTTTATGCATTTGGCATCGACTTGTTACAACGATGGTGGAAAATGTGTGCAATCCACCAACAAGTTTTGAGACTGAGAATGAAGGTTTGAAAACAGTTGAAATGTGATATCAAACTTCATTTTGTCTTATATCAATGAGTCGTTTTCAATTTCTTTCAGATTTAAACGTGGAACACGCACAATTGGTTTTGATTTTATTTCATTCGCTCAATTTAATGCAGAAAAAGTCAGTCTTACTGGTCACTAGCAGTGGTGCAGTGCGATGTAGCGAGGCTGTTAAAACGCCAATGAAGGATTCGCAGCTACTTCATCTATCGAGACTTCTGCTTTTACTCGAATACATGATGAAGCATCTTTACGACGCACCACCTACGTTACTCGTACAGGTATTTAATGAAATAAGGAATTGTTTTTAATTCAATTTTGTTGAATTAAAAATATGCATTTGGTCGGTACTTAACTACGGCTCTTACATGCTGTATCAATATTAAAACTTTATTATATACATTTTTTAATCAAATTATGCATTCGTTTTTTAATTAGTCATTATTATACATTTTGTACATCATTAAATCCGAAAATGCTAAAGTAATGTCAAGCAGTCATTAAGCTGACACGAGATAACAGGGCCACCAGACTGAAAGTGACAACTGAGTGGTAGTAAAAAACTCGTACAGATATACACTATATATATAAATATTTCGATGTAACTTAGATTGACTACACAATGTCTTAAACTTTTATTGAAGGTTCGATGGAATTTATTGTCCGCGACTAGTTTAGTCACGGATACTAAAGAAGGAGATGATCAAGCTTCTAGAATTTACACGCCTTGGAAAGAAATTGAGGATAACTATCGTAAGTTCAGTGTTCAGGATGAATTCTCAATGAAGCCTAGGTTCTACAACTTAACTCCTTCCGACTTTAACAATCAAGACACACCGAAGTTGGATGGACTCGTATGTATCCTTGTAAAGCAAGTTGATTTCAATATTTAACCCACATTAACTCGTTTTCTGCACCTTCTTTAAGGCATGCAACTTCATCTTGGGTACTCCAGATAAACTGAAATATCCTCTCCTCGTGGATGCTCTTATCGATATCCTAAACGTTGTCAATCAGATGAGTTCACATCAGAAGTCATCTCCGGATAGCAAAGACAAGATGACCCCTACTGGTCTGTGCGCTATGCAGTATTGCTTTTCCATTTGTTGGAGGTATATGTCACTTTTCTCTGACAAATTTCTTTCAATGTCTTTCTATTGTTCATTATCATTAATTGTTACTTTCTTAATTTGTGTATAGATTGTTGTTGATGTTGCCACCATCAACACCATATATGGACAAGCTGGCTTTAGGCGAGGAAATTCCAGCTGGTCCAATGTTACTTCATTCTTTGATTTGGGGTCCCAGGGCTGCCTACAAAACATTCACTGGATGGATGAAGGTACATTTAACATTAAAAGAAAAACTCAGAATTACTTATATTGCACATCTAGAAGAATAAATGCTATTGAAATGCATATCTGTTGCAGGATTGTTTGGTGAAACAAGGCATGTACACTCAATACGCAGAAAACCTACTGAAGACAGTATCGTCAACAGTGAATTCCCTGAAGTACGACGTAACTTTGGCCAAGAACTGCATCAACTTCCTTAAACCGGAAATAAACATTGAAGATAAAATAATGCCAAAATCCGCATTACCGAAGCTCAGCTCTCTAACTATTTTAGCGGCTGTCATTGGAAAACTTCAAGTTCTAATGGACGAAAGCATATCGAAGAGTCCTACTGATAATATTGAAGCATCCAAGTATGTAAAAATCTTATAAGCATCAACAATCATCTGCAAGAACGACGTTGCATTTTGTTGGTACACTTCTAGGAGTCCACAAACACCAGAGTCCATCTCTTCTGGCACAAATAAGATGATTATGGATATTTTGCCACATATCTTGACCTTGACGGAATCAATCCTATTTTCATGTCGATCCAGTGTCTTATATCAGATACAGGAATCCTCTGAATCTGTAGGAAAGTATACGATTCGCGACTACTTGGTACTGGATGGTATTATTTCTATGGCTGATGCCAACTGGGCAATGGAATCATCCCTGGTTACGCTGTTACCAAGTAGTATTAGATCCGTTCTTGAGAAGTGGAAAACTATTAATGTTTCACATGTTCCTTGGGTACGCGATAAAATCTTTTCGTCAGCACGATAGCATAATACCGGAAATGATATATTGGGCTATTCATAAATGGTTTTGTTGTAGAATACCTATGCGAACGATATAATACCTGCCGAGAGCTACATCCTCGCTACAGTAAATCATCATGTCAGCTCTTTATCAGAGTATGGAACATTCTCCATCAATCCATCCTTGAAAAATTTACTTTATTCTCTGGTGGCTTTCATCATGGAATATGTTACGTAAGTAGATTGAGGTTACTAATTAAAAGAAGAAACTTTCGTAATAACACTTCGTTCTTCATTTTAGGCATGCTACTGCTCCAGAACAATCGGATATCCGCACTCAAGCCATAGATATCTTGGTATCATTAACCATGGATGCCAGAACTGAGTACCTTCAGGAGATGGCTTTCAAAACATTAGGTAAACTCTTAGGCGATGCCGAAAGTGAAGCTAGACAACTACGCGAGCATCTCTTCGTTCTTAATCATACCTACAATCTGATCATGGAATATGCCATCAACGATGAAGATACCATTAATGTATCTATCGACGAGAAGATCTTAAAGCAGTGCATAAAGTATTGGGAACAACTTCTGGAGAAACCAGTGGGTTGTAAAGCCCTGGATCAGTTCTTTGCTCCCAATACCAATCGCACTTTAGTTTCGGTACTGATGTCAATAACATCTCCTCAATCGTCTCATCAGTTCAGTACCAATGTACTACATTTCTTTAATAAGCTCTTTAAAGCTGCCGAAAAGAACACCGATGAATCCTTAGATCGTCTGTGTAGTTCGGTATCTAGCTTGGCCAACGTAGACAGTGAGAAATTGCAGTCTTGGCTCAGACATGTCATTCTCGGTGCTACAAGTCTCTCCCCGACTGCGTCCTCGACCAATATTCAAACACCGACTATAGTAACAGCTACAGCATTAGTAGCAGTAACTGCAAATGGTGAAGAAACACAAAAACCAGATGAAACTGGAAGCAATCCCCCAAACAATGAGCAAAGTCAATGGCGAGCCCTCTTCCTAGACGCTTCCGGTAATAGTAATCCAACCGCAAGCCCTAATGAAGATCAACACTCTATGCACGAGAACAATCAACTACTTCAAGCTTTGACAAATTATATTGTCAAAGAAAACAGCAATGTTAGCGAGGACGTCTCCGTAACGATTCTTCAGGCCCTCATCCCAATAGGTTACCACATACTCTCCCCTGTGGTAGAAGGTGTTGGATTTCCTGAGTTGATGCAAGTTATGTCTACTTTGGCCGATGCGGGGACAGACAAAGGTCACGTTCAACTCTTCAAAGCCGCTACTGAGTGGGTTGAATTGTGTAAACAGCAGCTCATGAACAAGGATCCCCAGGGTATGGACAGACCTTCACCCTACATCGAGGCAGGATGTTGTGTGCTAAACTACATTGCGGACATAGTGGGTGCTGTGTGTCCTCAACGTAATGAAGTTCAAGACCGTGCTACTAGCCCACCTTGGGAAGGCGCTACACCCATAAATGATGTCAACGACAGCGATTGGGTTGACGAAATCGCACATTACGACGAGGACAGTGCTCCAGAGGACTCCGACGAGGACAACTTCTTTAGTACACTCTGCACCTTTACCATTACGAAAAAGGAATTCATGAACCAGCATTGGTACCACTGTCATACCTGCAACATGGTGGATGGTGTTGGAGTGTGTACAGCGTGTGCTAGAGTATGTCACCGGGGTCATGATGTAACCTATGCGAAATATGGAAATTTTTTCTGCGACTGTGGTGCCAAGGAAGATGGTTCTTGTCAAGCGATGATTAATCATAGTCCACAAAGTTCTGAGCACCAGGTCAGCACAAGCGCTCCATATAATAATGCCAGCAATATCGCCGATAATAACATGCTACTTACTAGTAGCCTACGAAGAAGACCTTCCAGCCCTGTTCACTTTAACGACAAACATGAAAGGTTAGATAGAGACAAGCAGAAACAGGCTGCTTTGGCTAAGCAACTTGAAGGTTCTAAGAATTGGGTTATGTCACGATTATGGAGCAGTGGACTAGTATCCTCTCTTGTAGAATTGACCAAATCTCTTATACCAGCAGTAGATGCGTCGTGTCAAAGAAACTCACCAGTTGGGTGCCATGCAAGGGCTCAGTTGGCTCTTCGACAGCTGCATTCCTTAGATAAGAAATTTGAACACACTGATCAACTTATGTTACCTACCTTGGGCTCGCAAGAAGGTGCTTTTGAGAATGTAAGAATGAACTACTCTGGAGATCAAGGTCAAACTATAAGGCAACTTCTCTCAGCACATATGATACGACGTGTGGCCATGTGTTGCTTATCCTCTCCTCATGGTAAGAGACAACACCTTGCTGTATCGCATGAGAAGGGAAAAATTACAGTACTGCAATTAAGTGCGTTACTGAAGCAAGCCGATTCATCGAAACGAAAACTGACCTTAACGAGACTGGCGTCAGCGCCGATACCGTTTACTGTACTTTCTGTTACCGGAAATCAATGGAACGAAGATTTTCTAGCAGTTTGTGGTTTAAAAGACTGCCATGTCCTCACATTCAATAGTTCGGGAACAGTCTCAGATCATCTTGTTTTACACCCTCAATTGGAGACTGGAAATTTTATAATCAAGGCTACCTGGCTTCCTGGCTCCCAAACTCAATTAGCCTTAATCACAGCAGACTTCGTCAAGATATACGATTTGGGTAAAGACGCCTTAAGTCCTCAATATTACTTTTTGGTTCCTACTGGAAAGATCAGGGACTGCACCTTCATACACGACGAAGATGGTTTGTTCCACCTACTTTTAATGTCTTCAGCTGGGTATATTTATAGTCAGGCCATGGACGAGGATAGTTCAGCTAAGCACGGTCCGTTTTACGTGACTAATACCCTGGAAGTTTACCACCCTGAGATCAAGGAGGTAAACGGTCAAGTAGGAGGTGGAGGAGTCTCAATTTATTACTCCCATGCGCTTGAGTTACTCTTCTTTAGCTACGCGTGTGGTAAAAGTTTCATAGCACCACCTACATATATGGACTCTGACATCACTGTAGTTTTCATGATTAACCTTGCAAACAAAACGAACGGAAATAAGTCCAACAATAATCAACCTCAACCACTCTGTCAATGGAGTGAGGTCGCGAATCATCCTGGAATTGTTTGCTCGGTCCTTCAGACAAGTAATAACCCAGTAATCCTGATGATCAAACCTGATACTGTAATGATTCAAGAAATTAAGGTAGTACCAGCAAAAGCCAAAATTATGGATATGGTCGCTATTCGACACCCCAGTTCGAATGCTGAACATCGAACCACTTTGATTCTCCTCTGTGAAGATGGAAGTTTGAGAATTTACATGGCTGCAATGGAGCAAACCGGATTTTGGATGTCATCTAGTGTACAGCCAATCGGCACAATGTCTACGATGAAATCAACTCGAAAAAAGAAGACCACAAAAACAGGAAAACCATCAGGATCAGTCTCCTTCCCAATTGACTTCTTCGAAAGCTGTCAAGCCATGAATGATATCGAGTTCGGAGGCAATGACTTGTTACAAATCTATAACGTTGCACAGATAAAGCACAGGCTAAACACCACAGGAATGTATGTAGTCTCAACAAAGGCTTTAGGATTCAGCGTGGAGATCGTCAATAATGATGCGACCATGGTGATGACAGGAATCAGAGTGCTTCTTGGTAATCAAGATATTCAGCGAGCTCCGTTATATATAAAGGTAACATTAGATTAGATTACATTACATAGCTTCATTTTGTGTTAGAACATATAACCACATACTTTCTGTACTAGGTATTCGAAAGGAGCATAAGGACAAATCTGACACGTAGCCGATGGTTCGATATACCTTTAACTAGAGAAGAAAGTTTACAGGCTGACAAAAAGTTGATTATAAACTTTGGATCATCACCAGATCCCGAAGATGTAATCATGGTCGATTCGATAAAAGTGTAAGTTTTCCATTTATTTGAGCATTATAATGGGCATCTTATTATGAGTTTCCGTAATGCCAATTTTTCTTCCTCATACATTATATACAAATGTATAAAAAATAAGGGCATGTAAGATCGGGTATTTCTGTCTCCGAAGCAAATGGAAGCGGCGTTGCAATTTAAAATTTATAAAAACGAAAATCTTATTAAATTTATAATAAATCCCATCATAATATAAAAGTTTATACATTTTTAAGATATGGCAAAACTAAGGATGCCTTTGGTTGGCCAGAAGAGGCTGAGGAGATCTCTGCCGGGCAGTCGACTCCAGCACCAGTGGCTACTGGTACAGCTACTAATAATGAGGCAGAAAATATTATACCATCACCTGCTCCTCTGAGCTCTTTGGACAAGTGCGTAATATATTTTGCATATATTTTATTACAATTGTGGCATTACTTATTGTATATCTGTCGTATTCCTAGTCTTAACTTTCCTAAAGGTGAGAATTTATTACCAATTCAATATTGTTGAAATAATAATTGAATATTTTATATTCAAAACAAAAATTTCAACAGTGCTAATTACATTGATCTAAATGAGCAATCAGATACTTTCAATTTTATTGTTTTATTTAACACAAAATTTGAAAGACGGTAAAAATGTTTTTCGATTCCACGAAAAGATAGCTTTTTTGTTTATGAAATTATGTAGCGCGATTAATATCGCAAATTAATTTTTTTTTATATTATTATAATGCATCAGACCAAAAAAGGATGATTCGGTGAACATCGAAAGGTAAGAATTAAAAAATCGAATGTATTGCAGAATGCATTAAATCTATACCTATATCGAGATACCAGATAAAAGATACCAGTTGATTATTGTCAACACTTCATATCAAATTAGAAGGAACGATTTGTAAATTAGTCTTAGACTCCTTTCAAATTTTGTTTGCATTCAACTCCTGTGGTATTTTCAAACGTCCCGATATATTTTATTCCAGGATGATCTCCAGCATTCTTGAAGTCCTTGAGTCGTCCTTTACATTGACCTTAAATGATGACAGCAAATCTACATTAAGGTCGACTGCTATCGAAGTGGCATCCAGCCTCTTGACGTTGCCAACACCACCGCCTGTTCAGATGCATACTACTGCACTTTTAGCAGCACTGCACAGTACCAAAGCATCTTACCACTTGTACAAGGTAAAACATTCTATTTAACTGTACAAAGTACACGGTTTTCTGTTTTGGAATTTGGTGCTATATGCTGGAGAATTTCAGTTACTTGATGGACATCTTATTCCCAAATTAGACAATCTTTCGCACACTTATTTTCATACACAATTCACTATTGTTATCAAAACGTAAAACAAAAATTCCAAAACATTGGAAAAACGAACAGGTTTATTGTTGTAGATAGTTTAAAATATGGTATAACGAAAAAATTGCATGACATTCATTTAAAAATTTAAATATTCCATTAGGATCAAGCTCTCCTGTCGCACGTACTTGATTCCTTGAAGTCCATGAGAGATATCAGCAATCCTCGAGACATCGACGCGGAGAACTTTTACCGCCTTGTCCTCATTGTCAGAAGCATTGCTAGTGCTCGTGCACATAATCTTGCAAAATTCACCGATCAACACACTATTAAGCCTGTTGACGAATCCAGCAGTACGTAAAGATAAAACAAATTTAAAGCATAACCTTATCAGTTAAATAATTCCTGATTGATATTGATCTAATTTCACACATGTCTTCTAAATTCAGTTCCAATACTGGAGAAAGATCGGTTGGACTGGCATATTCGTGCAACCGTGGATACAAATCAGCACCTTGTGGTGCAGTTGATGGACGTTCTTTGGTCTCTACACTTAGCATATCCGAAGAACATGGCTCTGGCACCTGTTGTAGTTCCAGGATTAACCCATACTGAGGCAATCATTCATGCCATCGTCGAAATCATTCATGCTTTCACTACTTGTGACATCGAGGGTAACACACCTCTAGCTGCCAAATTGTACTTACAACTGTTACTCTGTTCGGATACTACTGTGAGCTTCAGCGCTAAGCAAGCTATCATCAGGGTATTAAGACCCCGCTATAAAAGAAGAAGAGTATATATACCTAGCCCGCCACACTGCAGCACACCAGGTTAGGAAAGTCAAAATGCATTATAGCAACCACATAAGAAATATGAGCTATTAAGATAATATGTTGTTCGATACGAATATACAGGGTGTTCGTTATGAAACGCACTGTAGTAACATCGTTGCATTCTTTGTCAAATTCTAATGAATACGTATATTTTCATTTTTTATTTCATATATCAAAATTTTGAGATAATTAAGGTTGAAGTTGCAGTAATGCGACCAATCAGAGCGCGTTTAAACGGAGCGTAGATGACGTCGCGAGTCAGCCCGCAAGACCTGCTTACACTAGGCTAATAACACTAAGAGTGTCGTCGTAGTGTCCCTGTTTATCTGCATGTAATTGAGTGAGATACAATCGCTCGCTGTAACGTCAGTGAATTTTAGAAGGTACCCTTTATTCCTTATAATGTCTATTCCTTTAATGTGACAAGATAGTTGTAGCAACGTATTACGTTTTGAGTGGTCCTGAAAAGGACCGATTTTGATCTACGCATGACCGAGCTTGGATCTGGATATGCTAATCTGCAACAATTACATACATTTTCTATGATAATGATTATTCTGAAACAGTAAATATTTTAGAGTACATAACATTTTTATCAGGATGTCGCCGATTAGGGTACCTAATTGCATATTCTTGCGCTGTTTGTGTTTGGTTGCCATTACATTGGGCTAACACCCAATACATGTCGCAATATTCTCTCACAGAATAATCACTCGTAATGCGATCTTGTAGTCGAAACAACATAAATCGAACTAACTGTCTCCGCAATATGAAGCGAAATAGATTGTAATTTGTAAACAGTAATAAGTCTACTGCGGTCGAATGACTTGTTTACAAATTACAACTTATTTCACTTCACATTGTGGACACAGTCAGTTCGCATTACGAGTAATTATTCTGTGAGAGAATATTGCGACATGTATTGGGTGTTAGCCCAATGTAATGGCAACCAAACACAAACAGCGCAAGAACATGCAATTAGGTACCCTAATCGGTGACATCCTGATAAAAATGTTATGTACTCTACAACATTTACTGTTTCAGGATAATCATTATCATAGAAAATGTATGTAATTGTTGCAGATTAGCATGTCCAGATCCAAGCTCGGTCATGCGTAGATCAAAATCGGTCCTTTTCAGGACCACTCAAAACGTAATACGTTGCTACAACTATCTTGTCACATTAAAGGAATAGACATTATAAGGAATAAAGGGTATCTTCTGAAATTCACTGACGTTACAGCGAGCGATTGTATCTCACTCAATTACATGCAGATAAACAGGGACACTACGACGATACTCTTAGTGTTATTGGCCTAGTGTAAGCAGGTCTTGCGGGCTGACTCGCGACGTCATCTACGCTCCGTTTAAACGCGCTCTGATTGGTCGCATTACTGCAACTTTAACCTTAATTATCTCAAAATTTTGATATATGAAATAAAAAATGAAAATATACGTATTCATTAGAATTTGACAAAGAATGCAACGATGTTACTACAGTGCGTTTCACAACGAACACCCTGTATGTATAGTGTATCAATTAATCATTTCTTGTATTGTTTTTGCAGGGGTTGCTACAGAACCTGAAGAAAAATCAGGAGCAGTGACTTCGCAGCCGTCACAGGAATCAGGGGAAGTCGAACAGCAATTTGATGTAGAAAATGTAGAGCCAATGAGTCTGCTTGGCGCTGATAGTAACCAAGCTGCTACAGGTGCACGAGCACGCAATTCTTTACAAGCACTTCTTGGTCCTGGAGGGTTTCCACAACTCCTGGACATACCACCAGATGCAGACGATGAAACAATGGTGGAATTAGCCATCGCCCTGAGCTTGCAGGATCACGAAGGTGGTGCACTACAACAAGGACTTGCTAACTTACGAGGACTGCAAGGCCTGGAAAATCTTAGTGGTCCTGCTCTGCAGAATTTACAGGCTTTGGCGGCACAAGGTCTGGCTCAGGCCCAAGCAGCTGTGCAGGTATTCATTTTAATATTATTTGAACTTTTTTTATTTGGTATATCAGTGTGCCTATAATTTGCTTGATCTTCATTTTTTAATTCCGCTCCTTGTTTTTAGAATCAGGAAGGCGGACATTACTCGGACACTACAGCTTCTGCAGGTGGATCAGATGATGAAGGATCCACCGCTGCTACTGATGGTAGTACACTGAGAACTTCACCAGCCGATCAAGTAAGTTGTTTAATATCTCTTTTTATTGTATTCAGTATACAGGAAATTAAAGAATTTGGTTGTAACTTCATTGTACATTAAAAATTATTGCTGTATCGGCAATTTTTTATATTAAAAGCATCTTTGATAACAAATAACATTACTAAATAATGAGGTATATTTACATTTTGAAATTAATGACGTGCATATGTAATATATTCAATAATGTTTATTTCAAGTTGTTGCCAATTTATTATTTCAAGGTAAAGGTAATTTATTGCTTAACTTAATTTAGTCCTTAATAATTAAATTTCTCTATATAACACTAAAAAATTAATGATGTTACCATTACCATCAAACAGTTGTATAATAGTTAATAAAATGGGTCTCACATGCGCGTTTGTGTGTCAGGGTGGTAGCGGTGGTAGCAAAGGCAGCGAGAGCGGCGGAAGCGAAAGTGGAGGCAGCGCTGTCGACAGCATAACCGGAGAACACAACGTTTCCGGTAGAAGTTCCGCGTACGGTGATAATACCACTGATAACATTCCACCAATTGGCATTGGCATTGGTCAGCCGTCACGATCCGAAACTAGTTCACTCGATGTTCCCACAACTTTCACTGTAAGTTTTTGTAACCTTGACATCTTAAACGTATGACCTGAACATTCTTACGATAAGCCACCCTTTTCATTTTACTGTCCATATCCTCTAATGGCCATTTGAATCATTCGGGCTGTTAATTACAATAAATAGATTGTATACAATGTTAAGTAACTTGAAGATAGTATACTGAATTTTATGCTTTTTATTTAATATACATCAATTTTTAACACTAGGTTTATGAACATTTCTTATATATCTATCTGTAGGTTCACGCATCGTATCCATATGTGAACAAAACTGTACATTTTATTTAAAAAACTTATTTTATTCAAAAACAACATAGTTATACACTATTATCCTAGAATATACAACATATTACATTTATTAAAATCAGCATAAGTGGTAGGAGAGAAATGTAAACGGTATACGTAATTTTTCTTGTGCGTCAAAATAACGTATCCCGTAAACTCAGTGTTAATATTATATGATGTGTAATCTATGATCCATACTTTTTATTGTAGACTACTGAACAGGAAGAATGCGCAGAACAAGAACATGCTACCGAACAGGAAAGTGATGCTGCCGTCGAAAGTACCAGCAATCTTCATTCCGTGCGCCTACTTCTTCTTGATAAACTAGTTCAGTTTATACCTAACCTAACAAATGTATCTGGCGTACTAGCGATTCCATTTATGCAAGTAAGTTACCACTTCACGAGTGTAAAGTAATCAGAGTACCACCTAATATGTAGGATTTGAACACCGCCTGATTTGCCAATTAATAAACATTTTGACTATTTTTAAGGTTGTTCTGATGCTGACCTCTGACTTGGATGGTCAAGAAGAAAGGGATAAAGCCTGCGTGAAAGGCCTGCTTCAGGTGCTTGTAAAAGAACTTGAAATGGAGAAATCAGACACAAATGACATTTGTGAGCGTAGTAATAAACGAGAAGTACATCTAGTCATTATGCGGTTACTTAGTAAGTACAGTTGAAGACTTACATTGTAACGACGTTAGTCAAATATGAATGATTTCCAATGCATAATATAAATTTTGTTTTATTGCATTTTTCAAGGTGTCTTGATGTCTCGTTCAAAATGCAACACAAAAACGCAAACGGAAAATCCAAACTTCGTCTCGCAGACTACCGCTGCAATCCTCAGCAAGGCTGGTATCACAGACTATTGTTTAACGTTGTTAAAATCCTTGCTGGAATATTGGAAATCGTGAGTATAACTAAAATATGAATTTATGTCAACGGAAAAACAATACATTTTTTATTATTCTACTTTACATTTACGAATTTTTAGAACGTCTACCGAAGATTCCAGTACTGTGATAGGTGGTCAATTACTCAAAAAGCATTTAACAACTGCTCCACCGGATATGTCGCCATTTTTCGTGAAACAATATGTCAAAGGACATGCTAGTGATGTATTTGAACCGTATCCACAATTATTAACTGAAATGGCTCTACGATTACCATATCAAGTTCACAAATACGCAGAGAGTAGCTCTGCACAGCCAGCCTTTGAGCAGGTACCATCAAATTTATTTTATACATAAACTGCTTTGAATTTTGACATATTTTTAAATCTAATGGAGCAACTTTTGATCTCTTCGTCATCAAGCAGGCTTGGTACTTCATTCTCTGCGAATATATGATGTCCTACCAAACACCCTTCGTGAGGAGACAAGTGCGCAAGTTGTTATTATTCATTTGCGGGAACAAGGATAAGTATCGGCAATTGAGGGATCTGCACGCATTAGTGTCACATGTGAAGGTAAATTAACTTTTTTATCCTAATAATATATTAGTAAAATCAGTTAAAATTATGTGTCAAATGATTTACATGATTTTCAAAATGAGCCTCTGTCAACGGTTCATTATTTCAACTGTTTCAAGATTTTATAACCATTGTTTGTTTTTCATATATATATTTTTTTTATTGTAGTCCGTACAACAATGTTGCAACACAGGAGGTTACGATCCTCTTCAGGGACGTCCACATTCTATCAATCTTCCCTATGATTCCCTTGTAGAACTGATAGAGCACCTAAAGAGTTGTGTGGAAGTAGCTACGAGTCGCACCGGAAATTGGCAGCGTTTCTGCTTGAAACACAATACAGTGCTTTCGTATCTCTTCAGTATTTCAACTCTTCTCGATGAAGGTGTCAGTCCCACCGTTCTTCAACTATTGCAATGTGCTATATGCTCTACTAACAAACCCAAAGACACAAAAGTCAAGGTAATGTTACTAGTTTTCATGAACTACTTGCATTCATTGCGCTATACAAGAGGCTGGTTATAAAAACATGTCGGGAAAACTTTTTTCATTTCTTTAATTTTTACTAATCTAGGAATCGAAAACGGCAGCAAATACAAAAGAACGTCGTGACAGAGAAAAATCTGAAGATTCTGATACTGAAGCCAAATTTGAAGAAGCTCAATGCGTCAATTTAGTGGATCAAATTTTGAAGCAAGTGCCACTTGCATTGTTAACGAAATTTATACAGACCTTTTTGTTGGAGACAAATAATACTAACGTACGTTGGCAAGCGCATTCATTGATTCTGGCTATTTACAAGTATGTACAATTTTTTTATTTACTTACAAATGTAAGATTCAAACCAATAATATTTAATAAATGCGCTTGCAGAAACTGCGGACCGGTTGACCAAGAAGTTCTTCTCGATCTTCTATGGCGTCTTTGGCCTTTACTTCCGGTTTATGGACGCAAGGCTGCGCAATTCGTTGATTTACTTGGGTATTTCTCTCTGAAAACTCCCCACACTGGAAAGAAAATGCATTCGTACATGGAGCAAGCTGTCGCAGTGCTACACGCACAAAATCAGCTACTTTCCAGACATCCGAATGCAAATCTCTATGCAAACTTGGCTCAGTTTGTTGAACTCGACGGTTATTATTTGGAGAGTGAACCTTGTCTGGTTTGTAATAACCCTGAAGTTCCCATGGCGACAATCAAACTCTCGTCGATAAAAGTGGATTCAAAGTTTACAACAACAACTCAAATTGTGAAGTTAGTTGGTAGCCACACAATTAGCAGAATAACCCTGCGCGTGGGCGATCTCAAGAGAACTAAAATGGTGCGCACTATAAATGTTTTCTACAATAACAGATCAGTTCAAGCTGTAGTCGAGCTCAAAAACAAGCCCGCTATGTGGCACAAGGCGAAGAAGGTTACCCTAGCCCAGGGTCAAACAGAAGTGAAAATGGAATTCCCACTACCAATTGTAGCCTGTAATCTCATGATTGAATACGCTGACTTCTACGAGAACATACAAGCTTCCTCAGAAACACTGCAGTGCCCAAGGTGCTCCGCAAGTGTTCCGGCCAATCCTGGAGTGTGTTCTAACTGCGGCGAGAACGTCTTCCAATGTCATAAGTGTCGTGCCATCAATTACGATGAGAAGGATCCGTTCTTGTGCCATGCATGCGGCTTCTGCAAATATGCCAAGTTTGATTACACCTTAACTGGACGACCTTGCTGTGCGGTCGATCCTATAGAGAGCGATGATGATCGGAAAAAGACTGTAGCAACGATTAACACCCTCCTAGAAAAGGCTGACAGAGTTTACAAAACTTTAATTTCAAATAAGCCCATGTTAGAAATGCTACTTGTGAAGATTTCGGAGCATCGTCTTGATCGTGGTCTTGAAGATGGTGTTCAGGTGTCGGGAAGCACCCAGGTTAACAGAGCTATCCAATTGCTTGCCCAAAGATATTGCGGAGAGTGTAAAACTTCCTTTGAAGAGCTAAGCAAGATTATTCAACGCGTTCTCGCTTGCCGACGAGAACTCGTCGCTTATGACAGAAACCAGCGAGGGCAGAGTACTACACCGCAATCATTCTCTGATGCTTCAACCAGTGAATCTCATGTCATAGAGGAGACAATAGCACCACCCCCTGGACGATGCTATGGTTGCGCATCAGCGGCTACTGAGCACTGTCTTACATTACTTCGAGCATTGGCTACTAACAACGCAGCTAGGGAAGTTTTATGCAAACAGGGTCTGATACAGGAACTTGCTGAACATAATCTCCGAAAAGGTACCGTCCAAGTTCAGGAGGAAGTACGACAGCTTCTGTGCCTTGTTACTAGGGACAATATGCAGTCGACGAAAGAACTGTGTTCTCTACTCACTGGTAGAGTTACCATGACTTTAAAAGGTCGAGTAGCTGCATCTGACTTAGCCCTGGCCGTTAGGCATGAGATGGCCTTGCTTGCTGCACTTGTCCAAAAAGAAGATGCCTGCTGGGAACAAAAATTACGATGTGTCATGCAGCTTTTCTTAATGGCATGCAAAGATTCGAAGAGTCCCGTTGTTATGGAGAGTATCATACTTCCATGTTTAAAGATACTACAAGGGCTCATTAAACCTGATCAACCCATATCTAAGAAAAACAAGGTGCGTGTTTTATAAAATTACAAAGTATACATCGCCTATGCATATTGTTTACAGTGGACTTTGATTATGGAGTTCCATAAGAAAATGCGAATGCAAATAATTGTTGCCTTTTAGTATTTTCATTGATGTAAGGTACAAATATTCTACAAATTTAAGCTATTTTGAAATTCAATATAAGAAACATCCGATATTCAAATTAATTAGAATCTGCTACTCGAGTAACTTCGTATCATCATACGACCAAGGATATGATCGAATCATGACTTTGATTTTAAATTTAATGCACTTGCTTACGTTATCGGCCTTAAAAATATTACCGCGTAAAGTGGGACGGATCTCGCGGCTTTTACATATACAGTAATGCGCAATTGAAGTGGAACACTTTAATTTTTGTGTATCTCTACGAAACTATGACCGATTTAAAAAAAACTAAAGATATGTTTTTTAGGAAATTTTCTTCCCGTTCGAATGGTAAAGGTTTTATCCCGATCGGATACAAAATGGCCGAATGGCAGGGGTTGGAGTGAAAAAGTGCATTTTTGAACTTTTTGAAAATTTCGAGATCTAATAATTCCGGAAGGAAATTTATATTTCTAATCAGGGAACGAGAGAGAGTAATTTTGTGAGAATCTGCAGTATCATTAAAGATGATATCATGCAGAAACTGGACCAGATTGGCCGGCGTGTTCGGAAGTTATGGCCATTTAAGTGTTTTCACTTCAAGGGGGTGTAACTCCCCCTAGAGTGATCCTACAGGGGTTCAATGGGGGTGTTTTTTTATTGCCGAAGGATGCTCTCTCTCGTTCCCTGATTAGAAATATAAATTTCCTTCCGGAACTATTAGATCTCGAAATTTTCAAAAAGTTCAAAAATGCACTTTTTCACTCCAACCCTTGCCATTCGGCCATTTTGTATCCGATCGGGATAAAACCTTTACCATTCGAACGGGAAGAAAATTTCCTAAAAAACATATCTTTAGTTTTTTTAAATCGGTCATAGTTTCGTAGAGATACACAAAAATTAAAGTGTTCCACTTCAATTGCGCATTACTGTATACTTAATTTTTGTTGGAATTATTTGACCTTCATATTTCACAGGATAAAACTATCGAATCACTGGCGACCGTACAACCACCAGAAGGTGTGAGTATTGATGTAGGAAAATGGCTCAGCGGAGATCCGAAGCATTCGTACTCAGAATGGCTTCAACGAATGCCAGCTAAAAAACCGGAGCAACAGCCGTGTAAACGTTTAAAAAAGGTACTAAATGTTTACTTAACTTTTTCTGAAATAAAAATGTGAGAAATTTAATAAAAAATATTCTATTAAATTGCCATTAGGACGAAGCTCGCATATTATATTTGATGGAGAAATATGGGCACAGATGGCACTACAGGTGCCTGAGACTCCGAGGAATACAACCTTTGAAACTAGCTGATGGAGCTTGGTTAAAGGAAGTCCTTTTTAACCCCAGCTCCAGATTGGCACGTCAGGTAGCTTGCAATATGGTAGAAAGCCTGTGTCAAGGTACAGAACGCAAGAAGGAGGTTCTTGTATTATTAACGTGCTACCTGGAGGAAATGCGCACAGCCGGAGAAAGCAGTGCTGAGTTCCTATCTCTGTATCAAAGTTTAATCCGACAATCACCCTGGAAGCAATTCCTAGCCGTGCGTGGAGTAATGACCTTGCTGGCAGACCTGCTCACGCGCGAAATCGAGGAACTGCATCGCCTTGAAGAAACCACACTTACCAGTGATTTGGCTCAAGGATACTCGTTGAAGATGCTCACTGAACTCCTTGCCACATTCCTGGAGCAGGATAACATAAAACAGCAATATAAAGGAAGACTTGTAGGTGCTGTTCTAAATGGGTATCTTTCACTACGAAGACTCGTTGTACAGCGCACCAGACTAATTGATGATACCCAGGAAAAACTTTTAGAACTCCTCGAAGAAATGACCACTGGTAAACTTTTCTTTTTTTCCTTTTTTTTTTATATTAGCAGATGATAACGCAAGTTCAAATCCATATAATGTCTTTATAATATTTAGGTACTGAGGAAGAAACAAAAGCATTCATGTCTGTGTGTGTGGATACCGTTAAGAAATATAGCACTCAGGATGTCCGCACTCCTGTATTCATATTTGAGAGATTATGCTCCATAATTTATCCTGAAGAAAATGACGTAGGTGAGTTCTTTCTAACTCTGGAGAAGGATCCACAACAGGAAGACTTCCTTCAGGTAAGCTTCTCCCATATATAAAGAATGTTCAAAATGCCTTTCCATTTTAAGAAGTTTATAAGATTCTTCGTATCTTCAGGGTCGCATGTTGGGCAATCCCTACAGTAGCCTAGAGCCAGGTTTGGGTCCCTTGATGAGGGACGTCAAAAACAAGATCTGCCAGGACTGCGAATTAGTAGCATTATTAGAGGATGATAATGGTATGGAACTCCTAGTAAACAACAAGATCATTAGTCTTGACCTTCCAGTAAAGGAGGTACGTAATCTCATAAAGTTGAGAGTTGAATAGGCTCTTAACTCTGACTAATGAAATTTTGTGTTCTTTTAGGTTTATAAGAAAATTTGGGTACTAGAGGGTGTCGAATGTGATGCTATGCGTGTAATCTACCGCATGAGAGGGCTTCTCGGTGATGCTACAGAGGAGTTCGTGGAAACTTTAAATGCTAGTAGTGAACAGGAAGTAAATAATGAAGAAGTATACAAGATGGCTAACGTCCTAGCGGACTGCGGTGGCCTTCAAGTAATGCTTGATAGATTGGCAGCAATTCAAGACGTCAGTAGAGCGAAACCACTGCTTCAAGTGCTTTTAAAACTGTTTCGACTTTCGGTCAAAGTCAAGAGAAACCAAGAAGTTCTTACCAGACCAGAACTTGGAGCTATTACTGTCCTGCTGGACGTTCTTCAACGTTGTCTTGCCACAGAATCTGACAGCGCTCAGGCGAAGGTTACCGAACAATTACTTGATGTAAGTATATTTTGGAAAAAAAAAAATATAACCTCATCTCTTAAAGAGTATTCATAACATATTTACTGTATCGTGATTTTCAAACACTGGAACATTGACGTTAGTGAAGCTAAACTTTGTACTGCTTATCGCAATGTAAATATAGGTTTCACGATCCATGTTAATTTATGTTTAGTAAATGATTTTTTCTTTTTTTTTCATATAAAGAATTCAGACATTCAGAATATATTCACATATTTTTGTTTATCTTGGTTAAATAATTACTCAATTAGAAAAATTAAACCATATCATTGTATTCAATTTTGTAGATTATGGAAACGATCTTAGCCAATGCTACGTCCCAGCCATTGGCAACCTTCGTAGAGTTCTCAAGGACTCTCGGAGGAGCAGAACATCTGAAATCCTTACTCTCTTGTACGCAATCATCTGCTGTGAGACAGAGTAACGCAGTGTTAGTGCACTTAGCAAGAGTTTTGGCTGCCCTGACTTATGGTAATCAGGAGAAAATGGCACTGTTATGTGACTACTTCAAACCTGTATTAAATTTCTACAAGTTTGACTTTGAACACACAACCGAGGATGAGCAGAGGCTGGAACTCTTCTGTATCCTTACTCAAGGAATTGAAAAGAACGCAATAGGCAATACACTAAAGGATCACATTATCAACATGGGGATAGTCAAAGATGCATTTGAATATATAATAGTGAGTATGAAAGAAAACCCAAGTTCACTTTTTCTATACATGAAAATTTTTACTCAAAACCTAAAATGATAATTACTTAATAAGCTAAACTATGCTCAAAATTAATTGCAGGTACATGCCCCATGTGTGAAACCAACATTATTACGCACAGACAGCGACGAACTAAAAGAATTCATTTCCAAACCAGCCCTGAAATATATTTTGCGTTTCCTAACAGGTTTAGCCACTGATCACGAACCAACGCAGGTAATAAATTATTGATTAACTAAATCAATAACTATTAACTCTTTAAGCGCGGAACAAATACCACGTTTCATGGCTTAAATGGCTTAAAATACAAGACGAAAATTTGAAACAAACTTCTACGAGGCATTGCTCGCTAATGGTTTTCGAGAACGCTGATTTCGATTTTGACATTAGAATTTCAAAATAAAAAAATGGAGGATCCAATGTGGCCGACCAATGTATCTCGTCTGTCGCATTTTGGAAACACCTAAGTTTGGATGAGATATGTCATCCGTCGAACTCAAAGGGTTAATTACGTTATTCAATAAACATTTACAATTTGTTAGACAAATTACTGTCACAGTATTTAATAAAACTCTCTTTACACATATTTCTAGCTGGCAGTCTCTCAGGTGACAATAAATATAATCCATAGACTGGAGCAAGTGTCATCAGACGAACACGTCGGTTCTCTGGCTGAGAACCTACTAGAAGCACTCTGTACGAATAAAAAAGTAGCCGAATTAATCGAAGAGGCTCGTGAGCATACTCGAAGCGAAAAGAAGCGGCTGGCAATGGCAATGCGCGAAAGGCAGTTGGGCGCACTTGGCATGAGAACCAATGACAAAGGTCAAGTCACTGCAAGCGGCACGATCTTGCAGCAAATGGAAGACCTTGGCGATGAGACGGGTCTTGTCTGTGTTATTTGTCGCGAGGGATATAAATTTCAGCCTAATCAGGTACGCCTATTATAGGAGTGTATTTAATAAGCACCAAAGTTATTCTACAATTTAAAATATTTAGTGATATATCCTTGTAATATTTTGAATACCTTAATTGCACATATACAGGTCCTTGGTATATACACGTTCACAAAACGCTGTCATGTCGAAGAATTCGAAACAAAACAAAGGAATACAGTTGGATACACCACAGTGACACATTTCAATGTAGTCCACGTGGATTGTCACATGTCCGCAGTTCGTTTGGCACGTGTAAGGGATGAATGGGAAAGTGCCGCGTTGCAGAATGCAAATACAAAGTGCAACGGACTGTTACCACTGTGGGGACCCCATGTTCCTGAATCAGCCTTCGCAAGTTGTCTAGCACGACATAATACATATCTCCAAGAATGCACCGGCCATAGAGATATATCCTATACCTCAACAATCCATGATCTGAAATTACTGCTACTACGCTTTGCTCAGGAGAAAAGCTTCCACGATGACACTGGTGGTGGAGGACCTCAATCGAACATGCACATGGTCCCGTACTTGATACACATGGCGCTCTACGTCATTAATACGTAAGTATTTCAGTTGTCGTTGCAAATATTTTTTAGCTAAATAGAAGTAGTTTATACGTTTAATGGTTCTTCAACAGTACCAGATCAGCTGCTAGAGAGAACAAAGCTTTAGTAACATATCTGGAGTCCACACCCAGTTCGGCATGGCTTGAAAGCTGCTACGAAGCTGAGGGGCCATTGTATCAGTGTACCTTATCGGTGCTCTTGCTGGCACCAGCTCGGTGGGAACAATACTCCTTGGTTCATCTACGGAGACTCATCGTGCTTGCACATCAGAGATTCGTGTCTCCTTCAGCATCTACCAAAACTCTCACTGATGTAACTGTCAAGGATTATTCTGTGTATAAGAGTGCTCTAGTGTTCTTCGGTCTTGTTGACTGCATCTACTCAAATTTCTTCAACGTATGTTTCCTTCAGTGATTATTAAAACTTTGATTGGAATTTTAAAAGTGATCTAATTTTAATTTGAACTTCACTTGCGTCTTATAGAAAGTCAAAGTACTCTCAGATGACCAATGGCCATCAGTTCTGGCTGAATACATTAGACACGACGATGAAGCCATGTTAAAGGCATCGGAAAGAGTTCTGGCAACGTATAGAGATGAATTACTACCCTGCGAATCGTTCGAAGAATTTTGTGATGTTGTCGGTAAGTGAAGTGGCAAATCGCTATTTAATTTTTTAATACTTACACTTTCCATTTTCTTCTCAAATCAAAAATACGTTTGAGGGAAAACATAAATTCTTTGTACGTAATTGAATTACTCTTTTTTCAGGTGTACTTGGAGACATTTCGAATCCATCAACGTACATAGCAGATCTTCTTCAAGATCTAGCATAATTAAATAGTAGCTCATATGCCCCTCCCCCCCTTCCCCGGTTTTGATCGCTTTTGGCCGTCTAATATTTCAGAAACCGAAAACTATTTTAATGTGTAATGTTTTTTTTTGAATGAATCTTCTGTTGTTTTCTCATCAAAAAATGGACACTAGCTGCAGATCTCATGAAGCTCAGTTTTCGGTAAAACAAAAAAGCATACTATCGTCTATAAACCCTTGGAAACACGTCATTATGTATTTTATAACTTACCGTGGTGAATTTACGTATATTGTAACTCTAACGCATTCTCACTTTGCGTAGATACTATCCTACTGATAAAAAAGTTTGTGCTTTAACAAAATTCGATATAATAAAATATTTGCAAAATGTTAAATTTCATCTTATTAAAAGAAAACATGACCCAATTAGTGATTCAAAAAATATGAATTAACCCGGATGTAATTGTTACGTAGGCCGTAGTGGCTAGCGAGGCCTTAAAATTTGATAACAAAAATTTATAAGTAACCAAAAGAAAAGGAACGATTTGGAAAAGACTAGTTCTATGCAGCTCAATTTTGCCTGGTAACCGATCCAGCTTGTTCTCTAGGGTATGTAATAACAAATCCGTACCTAGGCCAAATTGCGAATATTACACCGCATCTAATACTCTAACGGTTAGAGCCACGAGTGACAATGTGCAGTCCGATCTTTTGCGCGTGAAGCTAAACGATTTTCTGAGCATCAGTACCATGACTTTAACTGCTTATATAGTTGTCAAACCCGATACACGGTTAGAGCCCTCTAGGGTATGTAATAACAAATCCGTACCTAGGCCAAATTGCGAATATTACACCGCATCTAATACTCTAACGGTTAGAGCCACGAGTGACAATGTGCAGTCCGATCTTTTGCGCGTGAAGCTAAACGATTTTCTGAGCATCAGTACCATGACTTTAACTGCTTATATAGTTGTCAAACCCGATACAGGGAGGCTGTGAGGGCTAGATTTAATTTAATTCTTTCGGATACCATTAAAGCACTTGGCGCAACTGTTATTCGGTCATTAATTGGATTTTTGGAAATAGAAAGGATTACAACGGGCTACTCTCGACAGCTCGTATTTATTGTTAACAAATATAAAACGTAATAGGAATTACAAGTTGAGTATTCATATAATAACTTACAGTTTATTAGTTGAGATTGGAATATGAGTCCTTCCGCTCGCGCCGGTATTCGTCTTCTACTCACAAAGAATTACAATTCGCACACCACGGTGTATTCCCGTTCCCTCGTGTGGAAAGGCTTAGCAACGCAGGGCCAGAGGCCCAACACTCACTTTGCAAGGAGTCGAGGTAAAACCGATGGTTTCGATGAGAGCTTTAGTAGAAGAGCTCTTGTCGGGCGTAGCGTTTCGAAGAGACTAATGAATTTTGGAAGTAATGCGAAATCGGTCGACGATCGGCGGGTCGATGCACGCGGTAGTAAATTGCTAACGCGTCATCCTGCCTCGCGCCTTGCAAGTATTTTCGCAATAGCGCATCGCCTGCATAGCGTTTGTTGCGACGAACATCGAAAAGTTCGATGCTCTAAATGGAATTTAAAAATTCGCTAATATCTGCGTTGGGATATAACATAGTCATTTTTCGCTGATGCTCTTAGGTATGATTAGGACCTTAGGAATGCAGTCAACTAAGCAGCACGGGCACTGGGTAACGTGCTGAGTCTGCAATTCTATTGACTGTTGGCTATGTTATTCTGTTTTGGAAATGATAACCGATATTATACGTAACATAAGTGACGAAAAATTTTAATTGATGTAATGTGGATACCTATGTACCTTCATAAATCATAAACGTTGAATAGAAATTAATCGTTTACATTGTTCTACTTTTTAAAAAGGATTCATGTTCATCCGTGGCTTTTTCACGCTGCTACACATATACATTTATGAAATAAAGGTTACGAAATTTTATTTAAAAAACGCAACATGTACACTGCGGGACATTAATGCCGTCCTTGAGTGGAGCTAGTAGGAGCATGAGTGTAGAGTCCCTCTAGTAAGAGTCCGGCCAACGGTGGGGCTTGTTAGTGATTGGCTCCGCCATATTATGGGCTCTTTCCGGAATAGAACGGTGTGTGTGAATACGTATACGGGAGAGATTCACATTGTGTAGTGTGGGTAGTGTTAAGCCCTGTACGGCGGGTTGCCTGTACTTGGCGCGAGACTCGACCGCGTCTCGCGCAATGTCATGATGGCGCCAAACAAGCCCTTAAGGCCAGGTTACTCCAAAAACCGTGATTTTTTTCAATAAATTTTATTTATACTAGAAAACATGTTGAGTAATAAATTTTGTTTACATATGAAAGCAGATATATTAAACTACTTGAAAATTTTTTTTTTTTTTTCAAAATGGCGGCTTCAAAAATGGCTGCTGAAACTCGTCCGATTAGTAGATGGATGACATCATTTCTTGGAAACGAATTATCTGAAAGCAAAAAACAAAACGGTTTCATGTTCTGTATCGAATTGGCTATGGCCTCAAACAGAATGAAACATTTACAAAAAAAAAAAACAAAATGGCGGACTTTTGAATTTTTTTACCTTTTTTTTCACTTTCAATCGTTTATAACTTTTTTAAATAACAATGAATATTTCTGGTTCTGCTTGAGGCCATAGCCAATTCGATACAGAACATGAAACCGTTTTGTTTTTAGCTTTCAGATAATTCGTTTCCAAGAAATGATGTCATCCATCTACTAATCGGACGAGCTTCAGCAGCCATTTTTGAAGCCGCCATTTTGAAAAAAAAAAAATTTTTTTTTTCAAGTAGTTTAATATATGTGCTTTCATATGTAAACAAAATTTATTACTCAACATGTTTTCTAGTATAAATAAAATTTATTGAAAAAAATCACGGTTTTTGGAGTAACCTGGCCTTAAGGGCTTGTTTGGCGCCATCATGACATTGCGCGAGACGCGGTCGAGTCTCGCGCCAAGTACAGGCAACCCGCCGTACAGGGCTTAACACTACCCACACTACACAATGTGAATCTCTCCCGTATACGTATTCACACACACCGTTCTATTCCGGAAAGAGCCCATAATATGGCGGAGCCAATCACTAACAAGCCCCACCGTTGGCCGGACTCTTACTAGAGGGACTCTACACTCATGCTCCTACTAGCTCCACTCAAGGACGGCATTAATGTCCCGCAGTGTACATGTTGCGTTTTTTAAATAAAATTTCGTAACCTTTATTTCATAAATGTATATGTGTAGCAGCGTGAAAAAGCCACGGATGAACATGAATCCTTTTTAAAAAGTAGAACAATGTAAACGATTAATTTCTATTCAACGTTTATGATTTATGAAGGTACATAGGTATCCACATTACATCAATTAAAATTTTTCGTCACTTATGTTACGTATAATATCGGTTATCATTTCCAAAACAGAATAACATAGCCAACAGTCAATAGAATTGCAGACTCAGCACGTTACCCAGTGCCCGTGCTGCTTAGTTGACTGCATTCCTAAGGTCCTAATCATACCTAAGAGCATCAGCGCGTGATTTTTTTCAATAAATTTTATTTATACTAGAAAACATGTTGAGTAATAAATTTTTTTTACATATGAAAGCAGATATATTAAACTACTTGAAAATTTTTTTTTTTTTTTCAAAATGGCGGCTTCAAAAATGGCTGCTGAAACTCGTCCGATTAGTAGATGGATTACATCATTTCTTGGAAACGAATTATCTGAAAGCTAAAAACAAAACGGTTTCATGTTCTGTATCGAATTGATTATGGCCTCAAGCAGAATGAAACATTTTCAATAAAAAAAAAAACAAAATGGCGGACTTTTGAATTTTTTTACCTTTTTTTTCACTTTCAATCGTTTATAACTTTTTTAAATAACAATGAATATTTCTGGTTCTGCTTGAGGCCATAGCCAATTCGATACAGAACATGAAACCGTTTTGTTTTTAGCTTTCAGATAATTCGTTTCCAAGAAATGATGTAATCCATCTACTAATCGGACGAGTTTCAGCAGCCATTTTTGAAGCCGCCATTTTGAAAAAAAAAAAAAAATTTTCAAGTAGTTTAATATATCTGCTTTCATATGTAAAAAAAATTTATTACTCAACATGTTTTCTAGTATAAATAAAATTTATTGAAAAAAATCACGTTTTTTGAAGTAACCTGGCCTTAATATGGCGTCCCTTCCTGGTGTTGGCCGGACTCTTACTAGAGGGACTCTACTCGCCACCAGTCGCCACTGCCGGCCGCCCCACTCACGCTTCCTACTAGTTCCACCCAAGGACGGCATTAATGTCCCGCAGTGTACATACGTACACCCATGCACGCGCGCTCCACATGAACGCTATTAAAAACATAATAATTCAATCAATTCAGAACCCTTGATTCCTAGAGTGAATGTATCAATAAATTTTCTCATATACTCTTGTCTCTTGATAAAAATACCGCAGTAAATAATTTAAATTTGTTGATTCAAAGTAAATTTTGAAATAAATGAAATGCCAAAGTAAATAAATCTAGAACATTTTGATGCTGCAATTTTCATAAGATTTTTTGAATTCATGTGTAACATGTCTTCATTTTATCTTTTACGTACTTGAAAACAACCAGCATATGGAAACCGAACGCGTGTGAACGGTGCTAAATTTGCTGGATAAATCAAGAACAAAAAGAAAAGAAAACACCTAAAGTATTGTTTCCCTTAAGACTCAAGATAAAAGAACGTTGGATAAGCATCAGATTACAAACGGTCAACCTGGAGAAACAGAATGCGCCAGAATAAGATCAGGTTAAATTGATTCAACGTATGTTTAGACAGTCATAATTATGTATGTATGTATGATTTATTGTATACGGGTAAAAACCTATTACAATTGTAACTCTTTCTTAATTGTATCTTAACTAACTTATTCTAATACCTTATTTCTAACTTTGGTTCGCTTTGTTATCCTATGTATTTTGGTACTCAGTATTACGAGGAGTCAATTTAGTACAATAGTTTCACGCTTATTCATAAACCCATCTAATTTAATCCCATAGGGCGAAGGCACGTAACTTACAACATGAAAACATATAACAGAAAAATTTCCGTAACACCTCATTTCGTGTACCTTTTAGTTGCATCGGGAACGGTTCTTCATTGAGGTATCTCTGTCTATATGGTTCATACTGTAGGTAGCTCACAAGAACATGTTTTAGGGTTTCATTTTCATTTAAGCCACATAACTGGCATGGGGAATCTACCTCAAATTTATATATAAGGGTTTTGATTTTGAGTCTAAAAAAAGCTGTTACCTGCCAACCTGCATTGTGCTAGCACCCTTATACATATATCCGACTGACTCCTCCGAAAAA